ATCAGTGAACTAGGAGTTTTTTTCCTGGAATGTCCAGGTGTTTGATAATGTAAACTTAATAGCATAGTTAAGTGTCATTTGTGGTACCTAATTTTATGTCAACCTGACACAAACGAGTCATTTTAGAAGAAGGAACCCCAGTCGGGAGAATATCCCCCAAACAATGCCATGTGGGTAAGTCTGTGGTGCATATTCTTTGATTTAAGATCAAAGTGGTGGGATCTAGGCCACTGTGGGTTGGTGGTTCTGGGTGCTATAAGAATGTTAAGTTGAGCAAGTCATGCAGAGCAAGACAATAAAAAGCATTTCTCCATGGCTTCAGCATCAGTTCCTGCCTACAGGTTCCTGCCTTGAGTTTCTGCCCCAACTTCACTGGATGATGGACTACAAAGTATAAGAAGGAATAAACCTTTCCTTTCAAGTAGCTTTGGGTCATGGTGTTTTATCACAATAATAGAAACTTAACTATAATACCAACATATGAATCATTAAATGGGGACATTTCCCAGCTGATGGAAGAAAATGAAATGAGAAAAACATAACAGAAATGAAGCTGAAGAAACCCACATTGGGAAGAGGTTGAAGACACAGGTAGGATCCACTGGGGTGTGTAAGAAGCAGAGGCATCTTCTAGGAGCCATAGCCATCATATTACCCACAGCAAGTAAGGAAAGAAAGATATTGTAAAATGCCCACTAAATCTGTAATGCATAAGAAATCGGACAGTTTATATATGCTACTGCAAAATTAATTATATCTCTAAGAATTTTCCTAGCTCTAACACAAGGAAGAACTTTGAGCATCAAATGGAATCCATTGACTGCACTGAACAGAGATGTTCCCTTTAAAACATAGTTTTAAAATTTGGAATTAAAGTACAATTATATAAATTTCCCCTTCCCTTTCCTCCCTCCAACCCCTCCCATGAACCCCTCTTTGCTTTGTCTTATATTTGTGGTCTCTATTACTTTAATTGTGGAGCTGTATCAATGTAATATATATAAATAAAAAAATATACATCAATATAATACAATACACACACACACACACACACACACACACACACACACACACACACATACTTCCAGATATATAAATACAATCTGATCATCCTTATAAAGTTTTGTACATGTATATCATTTCAGGGCTTATAATTAACTTGGAGAGATGGGTCTTCACTGGAGTAGACTATCACATTCTCAGCATTCCTTAGTTGCCTGTAGTTCTCTGTCTGGGGTTAAGTGTTTGGAAGCACATTGCCTTTCATTATCAATGTCTTCATACTTCACATTATGCGGTTGCATTTTCAATGTTCGCTTTAACAGAGTAAGAAATAGGGAACATTTCCCTGAGACCTTGGATAAAAATAAGTGATGGAAACGTCTGCTAGCAAAGACCTCTGATAAAACAGCTTATTTGTGATAATGGCTGTGACTTGCATATGTACTTCAAAACCGGAACTCAATTTCCATTTAGAAATTCATAGGAGCATGAGACAGTGTTGCCTCATGTCTCTCAAGTCCCCATCACCACTTTAAGAAACAACTAGAAAGCTGAGTTGAGTGATTACATCAAGTGTATAAACCTGAAAAGTGTCACTAGGGGAAATTACGGGACCGTACATCACTTTTCTTCACCTGACTTAGTCAGTTCTCCAGCAGCTTTTCAGACAAACTGCTTTTTCCCGGTGTCTGAGTGTTATCGCGGTCTCAGCATTTGGACAGCTCTGAGGAACAAAAGCCCTACCTTAGGAAAGGCTGATTGCACAGCTGACCTCATCACAGTAGGCTAGTGTAATGGACAAGAATGGGGAAGTAGAAGCCAGGTAATAAAAACAAACTAGGAAATATTGATTCCAACCCAGGAGCACCCTGTTTAATTTAAAAGACAGCTCCTCAGAAAATCCTTTCTTGTGTTGTCAAACAAGCACTGGAACCTGTCTATCCTTCCAATCATTCCATTAGAAGCACACGGAGGTGAGATGCTCTTGGCTTTCCAACAAACAGGAGGGCATAGGGGACATGCAGTTGGATTTCTCTATTCTTACAGACTGCCACTTTTAATTGCTGCTATTTGGGGAAAAGAGAGATACTTTCTTCTCATACACTTCCCTAATGTCTGCTTTCTGCCAACGCAAAACAAATGTCTGTGTCCAATTAATAGTTTTCCTTTAACTTGAAGAGTTTCACCTTCCAAAGTCAGACTTATCGTTTAACCTTCTCTTTGTTTGCTAGGTTTCTATGGTACGTGGACTCCAAATGAAAGTGCTGATTGTATTTGATGGATGCAGCCTGAAAGCATTGAACTTGAGTCTCCTCTATAGAAAAGTTCCTGTCCTTTATGTTCTTACTGGGTCTCAGAAGAGAATTGCATTAGGTGATATCTTGAGTTCATAGTAGGGAATACAAAATAAACAGAATTGTAAAGGTTTTATATTTGAAATAAAATCTAAAACTCCTTTTTATCAAGGAATGTTAAGGAATATTAAGAACAAATACACATTTTAGTTATTTTAAGCAAATTACTACCAAGCAAAGCTAATCCATCCGAGAACACCTTAATTATGATTCTTCCCCCACTTTTTTTTACTAAGAAGTTTTTATTCATTATACATACCAACCACAGGTCTCTCTCTCTTTTCTTTCCTCCTGTCCCCCCCAAGCCTTCTCCTCCCAACCCACCCCCCATTCCTTCTTCCAAAAAGTTTAGGGAATCAGCAAAGGTTGGGGAATCAACAAAGCTGGTGCATTCAGTTGAGGCAGGAACAAGACCCTCCTCTTGCATCAAGGCTGTGCAAGGTGTCCTACCATAAGTAATGGGCTCCATAAAGCCAGCTCATGCACCAGGGATAGATCCTGATCCTATTGCCAGGGAGCCCCTTAAATAGACCAAGCTACACAACTGTCTGGCTTATGCAGAGGGCCTAGTCCAGTCCCATGGAGGCTTCACAGCTGTTCATCCAAAGTTCATGAGTTCCCACTAGCTTGGTTCTGTTGTTTCTGTAGGTTTCCCCATTATGATCTTGATGTCCCTGATGTAAAGCCAAGGATAACCAGACAACAACCCAAAACTCCACAGAAGCTAGCTAACAAAGAGCACCCTAAGAGGGAGGCATGGATCACCCTGGGAAGAGGAAATAGATGAGATCTCCTGAGTAAGCTGGGGGTAATGGGGGGGGCAATAGAGAGGGTAGGGGATGGGGGACGAGAACATAAGGGAACAGGATGATCAAGCTGGAACAGGGACAGAGTGGGAGAGCAATGAAAGAGGTATCTTGATAGAGGGAGACATCATGGGGATACCGAGAAACATGGTGCTAGGGAAGTTCCCAGGAATCCACAAGGATGACCCCAGCTTAGACTACTAAAAATAGTGGAGAGGGTGCCTGAGCTGGCTTATCAGATTGGCGAACACCCTGTCATCATAGAGCTAGAGCCTTCATCCAGCAACTGATGAAAGCAGATACAGAGATCCACAGCCAAGCACCAGGAAGAGCTTCAGGAGTCCAGTTATGATTCTTGAGTAAGTGATTATCTATTATGGCAATAGAGTGACAATATTGCTTATTATGGCTTGAATCTCAAATGTCACCCTCATAGTTTATGTGCTAAAGGTTGGCTGAAAGCTGATCATTTAAGGCCTCTATATTCCTCATGGATTAATTGATAGAAGAATTTGAAGGTACGTGGAGCCTGGCTGGCTACAGATCACAATAGAAATGACTTTGAGGGAAATATTTTCATCCGGAAACTCTTTTTCTTCATGGCTTTGCTTCTCATCTGCACTGGGCAGGATTTATATTTAACACCCTTTTTGCTGTGAGGCTCATCGGGACTTCTGGCTTAAAACAATAGAGCTGTTCAAATGCAAACATGGGCTGCCAAACCTCTGCAACAAGGGTCCAGATTCTTTGCTTCTCTCAAATCATTGTTAGTTAGTTAGTTAGATTGTTTTGTCATAGTGTATTTTGTTGCAACAATGGAAAACTGAGGCAGTGATGTTCAGGTTAGCGTGTGATCTCTAATTTGTACCCACCTGTATTCTAAGTAGGCTAAATATAAATATGCTAAAATCTATTAGCACTATGATTTGATCTCAGTCATTGTATAAATCATCCTCTTCCTTCTAAAACAAGAGTCCCTCAAAAAAAAGTCATTATTCATAAAGTAAAAGAAAGTGAGAAAGGATTCATCCTAATTTTAATTCCTATGGATATTGCTTGAATGAGAAAACTTTCATGCCACTAATTTACAATTCACACAGATCTTTTGTCACAGGTACTTTGAATAGTTACCTAATTTATACTGCTCACTCTGGAGTCAGTGTCTCTTTGTAGTGTTATTTATCAAAAGACTGGGTTCTTGCTTTAAAGTATATGTGAGGAGACCAGCCAATCCCCTGTCTTCATATTGCAGTCTATGCTTTGTTCAATTTTCTCTCCTATGTGTGTGAAATTATAAACTATATTTGTCTTTGATATTTTCATTTTAGGAGTGTCATAGACAAGAGTGAAGCAGTTCTGAAGTTAATACATGCTATCCTGATAAAGGAGGACAGATTTAGTGTGAATTTTTTTGTGTCTCTGTCTGTTTGTTTCTCTGTGTGCTGGAGGGAGAAGGCTGTGTAAACAGGGAGGGTTCACATACAGGGAAGCCATACACAAAAAGATTTTTCTCTGAGGGACAATGGATATAACACTTCTAGATTTATTTCCTTGACCCATATCACTTTATACCACTTAACCCATTTTTCTTAGTTTATCTGGGTGACCCAGCTTTACATTTCATATGTTAATAAGACTTTTTTTTAAAATTAATATTTAGACTGTATTTGCTAACCACAGTTAATGACTTTAATTGAAGTTATTTGAAAAAAAAAAATATATATATATATAAAATCATATGGGAGACTCAATTTTGAGGAAGGAAGTCAGAAATCCTGTCAAGGACCTTCCAGGCAATGGTGTATGCTTACGATATATAAGATCTCCATGACAGTACCTGTAACCTTTAGCTTCTCAGCCCCAATCGTTATCTCGTCTTCATCTGCAGAGAACAGCACCCTGCCATCTTCGCTTGCTCTTACTTCAAATCTTTTACACTGCGCCTCCACAGCCTCAGCTCCTGTAGTCAGAGGGAAGGTTTGAAAATGAAGCTGGGATGCAGAACACCATATATATATAATTTTTTATAAACATAAAAGAAAAACACATATTGTTCAGCTTGTTCATCTCAGCTGCAGGTTTTACATCTGAATGAACACTTTTAAGATGTTATTCTTTTAAAAAAAAAAACCCTGATTGCACTGACTATTTCGAGTATATTAAATGACCATGCCTATTATTTCTAAATGTTTAAGGATGTTTTAATATAGTATATGCACTTAGCGAAATAAAAAACACTTGATACAGTCACAGGGGAGGCAATGTCTGCTGGGGTGAAGATTTGTCGTTTATTTTACTGGGCATGTAGTATATGCTCAGTAAATGGGGCCCAAATGACTCACATCTCTTCACAGTGCAGACCACAGAACTCACATTGCTACCTCTTCGTGGGTTCTAAAGCATCAATCACTTGTGAATCTTTAACTACTCCACATTTCATAGATTTTAGTGTAGTTATCTTCTTACCCTTTAATAACAATGAATTTTAATCCATTTTATAATCACTCTTTCAATGGATTTTTTCATAATAAAGTTTTAATAATTATTTTTCCATATTTATTGAACTGTATGCAACTTAACTACTCTAAAGTAAGCAACTTAACTACTCCAAAGTTTGATTCAAAGTAGAAAGAGGAAAGAGGAATCCCTCCAACATGCCCCTCCCCATTCTCCTTCAAATTCATGGCCTCTTTTTACTAATTGTTTATATATATATATATATATATATATATATATATATATACATAATATATATATTCAACCTATTCAGTCTATATGATGTTACTCCTGTGTGTGTTTTCAGGACAGACCATTTGACACTGTTATTCCCTGGGGTAGACCACCTCTCCCAGCTTTCCTCGGTTGCCTATAGTTCTTTGTATTGTGGGCTTTTCTCATTCATGTTGGCATGTCCATTGGTATAGTTCCTGTTCAGCTCATGTTTGAGTAGTCATGTTGCTGAGACGTCATGAGTGTGGTTTCTGATATTACAATGAGACACAATCTCACAGCAACTCCCTGATTCTCTAGGTCTTAGAACTTTGTCATCTCCTCTTTGACAAAACAACCTATTGCCTTTGACTTTGGTTCTCCTCAGAGATGGAAGGTATGTCCCTCTTGCTGTGGACACTATATACTTCACAAACAGGCCGCAGAGACCCTTGAGTTGGAATTGAACACCCCGTCTCTGAGGATTAGCTTTCATTGTACCAGGAGGTATAAAGCTTCCAAAGGAGAGAGGCAACCAACAGTCCTACCCATCATAGTTTTGATGCCTATGTAGCATATCAACCTACAGCATGACAATATAACCCTAAGGGTATAGTAGTGACACACACACCTCCACGTTCATCATTAGTTCTCTAATTGGAATGAGATGCACTTAACAGCAGGGAAACAATTCCTGATACTGGAAATGTATCTAACTACTCAGTAATAGTGAATTCATGGCAATTGGAGGAGAACCTATAACCGCTAATTTACCAACCCCACATAATCCCTAATAACAATCTATCAACATTTGTCCTTATAGACAATGTAGTTTTCACCCCTCATTAAGAAAACTGTTGTTTGCAACAAATGGAAAACCATAACCAATTAAAATCATTTATCTTTTCAAATTCAAATATCTTTTCTTACAAAATTTAAAGACAGTATAGAGGTGAACACTGAAGACTTTGGCCATCATCTTGACTTGGTGAATATTATTTGAGAAGGTAGTATTCAGTTGAATATTTTGTTGTCTATTTTCAGTCTAAACTTCTATGTTTGCATTTAGTCATTGTAGCACAGTAACTCAACTGAGAGTCAAAACATTGAGGCCAATGTGTTGAGGAATTTGACTTCTAGGTTTACATACATCTGTGCTTAAATCTATCTTCAAGAGACTTGGGCACACTTTAAGCCTCAGTGACCTGCGAGTTATAGATCTTTTACACATAAAACTTTTAACATTGATGCCGTATTGCCATCTTCAAATATACTCAACTGCTGAGCTAAATCGTTTCACAAGTTATATTTGATGGCACAGACGTGCATTAGATAGTTACATGCATAGAAAGGCATTCTATCCACCCACAGATTACCAAGAATTCTCTAGAAGTAGTGATTAATATCTTTATTCAGGAGATGCTATAAAAATATTAAAATATTACACAGCATGTCACAGAAACTATTACAAATAAACTATTAGAAATAGCTATTAGAAGCTTCGTAGGTTAGAGTCTGGCTCTGGCAAAGGAGTTGAAATTTTAATTCATTAACTTTAAATGAGCAAAGTCAAATAAGCAAATTGCACAATATTTATGCATGCAGAATTGAGAGATGCATCTAAGTCATAAATTAATGCATGCAGAAACCATCCAATTAAAAAACAGATATAAAATTAATACTTCAGAGTACACTTTATTCACTATATTAGCATAATTACAGATGGCAAAATTGCAAGCAATTAGTAATGACTTTATAGTAAATAAATGTTTTATATCAGAAAATAATTATATAGCATCACATTTACATGCACTGCTTCTCTTTTCTACAATTGAAAAATAAGTAAAACTATATAATTGGAGATATATTCAGTAACTGGGACTATCAGTGTTTAACATTAATATATTATACATCATAATACTGAACTTAGTATATTTGAACTTGTTTTTGGGGGCCTATCATTTGTTTGCTTCTAGTATCATGTTTTATTAGTCAAGGTTCAATTGGTCAAAGGTACAATCACATTTAGTAGAAAAAGAGTAATGAACTATTGTCTTTGTATTTTCTACATTCAATTGATAAAATACTAGAACTGGAAATTCTTTTTTGATGAAAAAATCCATGATGTTTATATAATACATTTGCAAGGGATTTCTAGGTTCTCTTTAGGACTGATTCAAAGAAAACTAAACAGCAATCTAAGTGGTTATGTCTGCCTGTCTCTGATGTGTCTTTCCCAAACATTGCATGATCTGTTATTACATCCTACATAACTTTGCACTTTAATTTTATATGTATTCAACATTTTCATGTTCTTGAATATCTTTAAGAGATTAGAAATTCCCACAGCAAAATAAAACTGGGATTCACAATTCTTCATTCAGAAATTCCTGTTTTTAAATTGCCATGTATACAGATAAACTCTAAAAACAAAATAATAGCAGCCAAATTCCTATGAACTGTGTGAATAAATTCTTAAAACCAAAACAGTCACAGCCACAATTGGAGACCAACAGCCATGGCTTTGAAGTATGTCATGGCTACAGGTCTCAAAAGGGCCACAAGATGTAGATGAATTATCACAAGCTTGCACAGAGAGAGCATCAGCTAATACACCAAGTTCATGTGGGACATGATGTGATTTGTGTTGCTTTGAGTAATACACCATGGAGCTGCTCTGGAAATTCAAGTGTGCCCTCATAATCATCAAGATGGTAGGTATGTACATCCATGCCAAGAATAGTGGGAGGAACTGAACAACAGTCAGCTGCTATGAGGAAAGGTGCAGCTAAGGACTGATTACCCCTATCTATATCTCAATAAACATTTATGCCATGTGAGTGTGCACACATACACATGCACATATACACACACACTGTACACTGTATATATACTTTTCTGAATATAAAAATGACAGTAAATGTTCAAGTACACATGTTTATCAGTATATATTAGACTTTATTTTGTTTTATAATACAAGTGTCATTGAAAACTTACATGTGAAATGTATCCTAGGAAGGTCTGTCATGGTTGAAGATATGTTAGAGATTAAAGAACAGCAACCTCAAGCTAGTCTGGAGGATTCTCCTCTCCTGACTCTGAAGGCTTTGGTATTTGTAGTTCTCCTGGGATCCTGTGAGAGTTATGTTTATCCCTACAAGCACTGAGCAATGGATCAAGGTCAGAGTTGCCCTTTGACCTCCAGAAACTACTATAGTGATGGGAATACTCAAATTCAGGGGGTTACCTTTGTCCTTCTGTTTTTCTCCCTGATCAACCTATCAACCTTTGTCAAAACTAGCAGTTTGTATGTTATTCCCCAATAAAAGTTTACTTTTAGTGTATTGTGATGAATGCCATTATTTGTCATCATTTGGATTATTTCCTTACCTATAATTCATATCCATACCTCTTGATCTCCATTTTTGTTTAAAAAAAATCAACAAAGAAGTGGGCTGTCGAGTTGGGTTGTGACGAGCACTCGCTGCTCTCACAGAGGAATGGTATTTGATTCCCAACACCAAAAGGCAGCTATCAACCATCTGTAACTCTAGTTAGGGGATCCTATGCCATTATCTGGCCTTTATGGGCACTAGAGGCACTTAGTGAATTTATATGGCAGCAAAGCACTCATACATAAAATAAAAATAGATAAGGCCTAAGAAATTATCTAAAACTTATGCAGATAGAAATATGCAAATAATTTTGCCTAGTGCCTACTTAAAGAAATAGCTGTTACTATCAACATTGTTGAAGTCATTATTGTCACTGTTCCTTAAGCACGTGTCTCTCCATCCTGGTCCCTGAGAAAAGTTTAGTCTGCAGAATAACTTATAACCACTTATCAATTGTATATTTTTATGATTTATAACTCAGATGTAGATAATCTATTTTAGGGTCATTAATATTTCAAAATCTATTCATTTAAACTTAATTAACATTTAAACTTCTGGTGAAATTAGTTTTTATCATTCTCATCTTCCAAAATGTTACTTACGTGTGGTGTCCACTACTGGTTGAAGTATTAAGGCAACTCCACGTAGTTAAAAGGGAGGTTTATTTTGCGGGATAACTTACAAGTAAAGGGACTGGTTAGAGGGTCCAGGAAAGGTAGAGTGCAGTCCAGTGGTGTTCTCTGGAGAACTCTGCTCAATCTACCTCCATCATCCAGGATCCAGGAACCAAGAGAGCCAGCACATCTGGATCTCCGGTCTTAGGGGCTCCTCTCTTGGCCCCACCTCATAGGCATGA